TCTTCTGTGGACGATATTCCCTTATCTTATTCTCTCTGAGGAAGGAGCACGAGGCACATGGAGTAGTGGTGCTTGTTACTTACGAGCCCATAGGCTGTATGCCAAGTTTTTTGGGGAAGTGTGAGTTTGCGCTGGGGAAGTCAAATCTTAGGCCACGTGGTATCAGCGGGAAGGGGTGGTCTGTTATACATCCAAGGTTGAGGCAGTGCAAGATTGGGGCACAGCTAAAGAGTGTGGTGTTGAAATCCGCAGTTTTCTGGTTGGCTGGCGTATTAACCGTCGGTTTTGTTGAAAGTATTTCTCCAGATTAGCTTGTCACCGTTGACTAGATCTGACTCGGAAGGGAGTCAAGTTTTGAGTGCGAGTGCACGACTGTGAAAGTCGTTCCAAAGAGCTGAAAAGTTAGATTGACCACCGCTGTGTTGGATTATTCGGAGGAGAAGGTTGGGTTATGCGGTTTATTGTGATGCTATCAACGAGAGGGTTGGGCTTGTGTTGTTGTGCAGAGGGAAAAGTGGTAGCTTATGGGCTCACGTCAGTTGAAAATACACGAGAAGAATTACCCCACACACGACCTAGAGTTAGCAGCAGTGGATCTTGCTTGAAAATTCTGGAGGCACTACCTTTACTATGGTGAGAAGGTTCGAGTATCTCGGGATCATAAGAGTTTGAAGTATCATGTACACAGAAAGACTTGAATTTGAGGCAGAGGAGAGATGGATGGAGATATCTTATCGAGATTTATGATTTGAGTTGATGCTTATCATCGGGGAAAGGGCCAATGTTGTGGCCGATCGCCGCTTAGTTAGGAAAACCATAGTGATGTAGCTAGTATAGCCATCAATGATGGAAATGAGATGTTGGGAGCACTTGGCGAGTTTGATTTGCTTTACTGGGCGAATCTGTCCGATGGCTGCGCCTGTTTATCTTTTGTTGCGCAGTCCTGACACTCTGGATTCAGAGTGTTAAGAGTGCACAAGAGAGGCTGACCTTTGACAGGATACGAATCCCTCCGAGAGAAAGATCTCCAGTGAGGAAAGTTGAGGAAGTGTGTTCTGACGTAGTAGTTATCCGAACGATCCTGAGTGTGAACGTTACCAGAAACCGTATGATTTGATCCGGGATCTTGCCGGAGAGGAAAGTACTCCGCTGGACGAATAGTCTTACTACGCTATTCGCAGCCTTGCGGCATCCAGAGATTACTTAAGTGTATCAGGATTTAGGGTCGCCAGTATTGGGTGGGCAGGTATGAAGAGAAGATGTGGCGTTTTACGTATGAAGTGCCCTTAACTTGCCATCAAGTGAAGCCGGAGCATGCAAGAGCCAGCGGGGTTTGTTGCAACCCTTGCACTATTGCGAGTGGAAGTGGAGATGTCACTATAGGGATCTTCGTGTGTATGGTCTTCCGAGGACTCACGGGGGTAGTGATGCTATTTTGGATGGTTGTAGGAATTACCGGATGACCTAAGTCGGCGCACATTATTTCCTAATTGCGCGTGAGAGATTCGGTGGAATCATCTTGCAGCCGATTTGATAAGTTCAAGGACGTAGTGCAGATTGCACAGGGTCTGTGACGATCGTCTCAGAATAGAAGTGAATCTCTCGTTTTACTGCAGTAGGTTGTGGCAGAGCTATGCAGAGTGCCTTAGGTCACTAAGTTTGACCATTTCAGTACAAGGCTTACCATCCTCAGACTACGGGCAGTACCGAGGCGTACCTATTTCGTTCCTCGAGGTATGGCTTCGGGGTGTGTCCTTGATTTCAGTGGACGTGGGAGAGGCAAATTGCATTGTAGAAGTTTGCCTACAACAACAGTTTTCAGTCTAGCATCGGCTATGGCAACCAGTTTAGACGGCCTTGTATGGACGTCGATCGTGTAGGTCTCCAGTTTGTTTGGGCTGAGGTGGGGTGCATGCACCTTGTTTGGGTCCGGAGTTGGTTAGGAGACGAACGGAGAAAGTTTGAGCTTATCTGTGGACAAGGGCTTGTTACATGCCCAAGCTCGGCAGAAATCTTATTGCTGACCGTAGGATAGGAGACTTTGGCGTTTCTTTGAGGTCAGGTTGATCAGGTCTTTGCTTGAAAGATACCACCTAGACGGATGGTTAATGAGGTATTGGGAAGAGTGAGGAAGTATATCCTTCGGTTTATGCTCCTTTTAGAGCATCCTTGAGAGGCATTGGCGAGGTTGTTATCGGTTAGTCCTTACCACCGCAGCTTGTCCGGAGTTACACGACGTGATGCTCATGAAGTATGCTTCGGAAGATATGAGCCAGATCATCAATGTAATTGGCGATTGGACATGATTTAAGAGGTAGATGAGAATGCCTCGTATGAGGAGAGACCGCGTTCGGGTCTTGGATAGGCGGGATCAGGTCCTGCGTGGCAAGACCATTCCTTTGGTGAAAGTCTTATGGAAACATCACGGGAGTGGAGGAAGCCACTTGGGAACGTTGAGTTGGAAAGTCCGATGAGAAATATTCCGGACTTGTTTGTTGATATTGTGATCATGTATTTTAAAGTTTGCATCCGTTGTTGAACTTAGAGCTTTTATGTATGTCTTAAGTTGTGAAACATTGAGAATGTTTTGGTTTATGGAAGTATGTTTTGGAAACTTGCCCTCATATGGAAGTTGATCATGTAGCATGTTATATGTTTGAATATTACTGTTGAAATTGGAAAAGATAGTGCATAATGTTAAATGCATGTTGAAAATACATATTTGTTTACACATTTGTGATATTATCTCTTGTTAAAGGGCATGGGCATTGACCGGTAATGGGTCGATATTGTTGAAATGTTCAAGTTAACATTGTGTTAATGGAGAAAAACTTTTTGCAAACTTTGTGCTTAATTTCGGGGACGAAATCTTTAAGGGGGGGGAGGTGTATAGCGATCCCGGGTTTACCCTTGTTATATAGTGATCCGCGACATGTGTCCGTGGATGTTGGGTAGTTGGTTATTATTGTGTTTACATTCCTTTTTCTTCATATTTGAGTTATAGGATGTGTTTGGGCGGATTTGTTTCAGGTTGGTTGAGTTTTAGAGACCAAACTAGTTGCCAGATTTTTTGGCCTGTCCGCTCGAGCGGAGGTGTTGGCGCTCGAGCGGGGAATACACCCATCCAGTTTTTTTCTTGTGCAGTGTTGTACGCTCGAGCGGGGATTGTCGCTCGAGCGGGGTTGTGTGAGTGCGCGAGCAGGGGAGTTGGGAGCTCGAGTGGAGGCCTGGTTCTTGCAAAAGTGCTGGGCGAGTGCATTCTGCGCTCGAGCGGGAGGTGGCCGCTCCGAGCGGAAGTCTGTGAGTGGCCGCTCGAGCGGGCGTGTTTTACACTCCGAGCGTAGACCTGGGTTAAAGTCCCGAAATTGTGACTTTTTCAAATCACTTTTTCACTTTCTCTTCTCTTCTCTTACTTTCCAAAATCACCATTGTTGAGCCTCTCACTCTAGACTCTACCTTCTCTCTAGGGTTTTGATCTAGTAGGAGTGATTTACTCACCTTTGGCCTTTACAAAAAAGTTGTTTGATCGTCGAGGGCCTTCATTTTAATCTGAAAATCTCGGGTTTTGGAGCACGTTGGGTTTTGCGTCTTCTCCTTTGGGACTCCGAATTTGAGGTAGGGATATCCTACCCCTCTCTATGGGTTTTGTCTTTAAATTTGGTATTTTGAGATGTTGGGCTTGGTTTGGTAATTTTGTGAAAGTTTGGGCTTTTGTGTAATTTTACAAAAGTTGGGGTTTTATTCATAACAAACCTAGATGCATGGTTTGGCATAGAAGAATGGAATTAGTGTTGAATTTATTGGAAAAATGGACCTAAGGGTTGAAATGGTAATTATGGAAAATGGCCTAATTACATTGTTTAATTAATTGAGATAATTAATTGTGAGAAATGAGGAATGAAATTGTTGATTGAATATCCATTTTGTGCATTTAATTTTCTGTTTAGAAATAACTGCTTTGGGCTATTCGGTGGAGGATAGTCGTGATTGTTGTAGACAATGCTTTGATATTAAGTAAACTGAACTAATCAACTGAAATGTGTCTTGAAACTTGACGGTTGATTGAATACATTAATTATATGTATTGAGTGATTGTATATAGAACCTTTTGTTTGTATACGTTATGTGTAGAGGAGGAGATAGGGATGTACTCCGCGGTTTAGGGGGAATAGGGGATGTACCTCTAAACCGGATAGGTATTGGGAGGAGATAGGGGTGAACTCCGTAGACAGAGCTTCATATGCTTGTCTCTAGTGAAGTAAGATAGAGCTCAAATATGCTTATCTTTGTGAAGTGTGGATGCAGCTTGTATGCTTATCTGTGGATATTGTTGATATACATATCTGTTGTAGAATGTTGGATACAGCTTGTATGCTTATCTGTGATATTGTTGATATACATATCTGTTGAGAATGTGGATATAGCTTTTATGCTTATCTGAATGTCGAGATATAGTTTTTATACATATCTGTTGAAATGATAATAGAAGCTGACATGCTTATCTGTTGAAAAGGGAAAATGAAAGGTAACTTGGACTCATAAGTTGTAAGACATAAATATGGAAATTTATGTGATTGTATCAGTGTTGACCAACTTATCAATTGCTAATGTTTTTAGTCATTGTTCATGGTTGGTTTAGTGTATTTCTACTGGGCTTTGGCTCACCCTATATGGGAACATCATTTTCAGGTACAGGAAGCATGCCACCTCCAAGGACATAGCTGGGAGGCT